GACATTTGTCTAAACTTAAAAAATATGAGCAGAGAGGCTCAAATAATTGTAGAACACACTCTATAGCACAGTGGTTCTCAACCTTTCTAATGCCGTGACCCCATAAAACAGTTCCCCATGTTGTGGTGACCCCCAAGTGGGTGTGGCCACCAATAAGAGGGAGTAGGACAGCTAGGGAAAAGGAAAAAAAATGGCGGACTGCGTTGTTTGGCGACCCCCGTGAAATGGTCATTTGACCCCAAATGGGGTCCCGACCCACAGGTTGAGAACCACTGCTATAGCAGGTGTTAGAGCATATTCTGACCGTATAGCTCTATGTAACCTCGTATAGCTCTATGTAAGCCTAGCTAGAGAGCATGCATCAGTATGTTAGAATATCTGGCAGTTATTGGGTTAAATGCTGGTCTTGTTGATGGGTCAGTGGGAAGAGTCTCTAAAGGGCATTGGAAGACTTCCTGGACACAAGCCAGATGGGAATGTCTTTGTCTGAAAGAAGCATGGGCCATCAGATGTCACCCGATGAGCCTGCGCCGTTATAAAGATGGTATGGAAGAGAGCATCATCCTTTTACCTATAGGAATGGACAAAAGATGTATTTTCCAGAACCACAGCATGAATGCAAGTAATCTTTCTGATTGTAATATATTTTTGTTATGCAATCATTTCTATTGAGTTGTCTATCTGACTTGATTTAAAAGAAGGCGTTTTTAACTCAGAGTCAGAATAGTAAAAGGATGCACAGAACTCATATCAGCTTTATAAAGGCAAATAGTAATTGGATGTGGCTAAATTCCTTCAATTGCCTGCAACAATAATCTCTGGGATCAGTCTCCCACTAAACACCTGCAAAGCAAAGTCAGTGTGTTTGTTTGGCAGATAGCATGTCAAAGAAGGTGTGATTCAGATGCATTGTTTTGTTAATTCGCTGTTAACTTTGCAAGGAACTTCTGGTCTGCATGATAAAGTTTATCTACATATTGACAAGCCTCTGCTGGCAAGGAATCATTGCTAGTCAAACTCTGCATGCTAGCCAACGTTTTAAAGTAAAGTTATAAAGTGCCTTGTGTTTGGATGCTTCTGCTAAAATTACCTTTGGATCTGTTTACAAGCCAACATTTAAAGCAAAGAGATATTGTGATGTCTATTTCACTAAGTAGAAGAGAGAAGTCTGCATAGCCTGCCTAATGCAAATTAAGGATCTGGAATTTAAGTGTTTAGAAATATGTTGATTCTTTATGCTTGAAGAGAGACAAAGCTACAAAACCTCTGTTTATTCTTCATGATTCTGCTAGCCAAGAAAGAAAGCAGCAAGGGGCCCCTTCGAGGGCAATAAAAGGTCAATTAACTCAACCGAATGCTGTTTTCTTAGTCCACTTGCCATAGCAACAGGTTATTAAGGAAAGCAATTAAGGCAATTAACCTCTTCACCCAGCCACAGCACTGGTGAAAGAAGCTAAACTCCCCCCTCCCTTAGGAAAGCTTGGAATTTCAACCATCCCAATTGAGAAGCCGGTGTTCAGAGATCCCAATAGCATCGCAGTGGCATCCACTGGTGGCCAATCTGCACACAACACCTGCTAAATTTGATCATGTTAGATTGCAACAACTGGATAATTAATTTAGCACATAGCAGGTTTACACCAAGCCAAGCTAAGAGAACCCCCATAGAGGGAAAGAAGGTACTTCACTGCACGCTTCACTAAATACGCAGCTGAAGACTTTCTCGTCGCTCATTACTCAACTACAGACAGCACAACAGGATTCTACCTTGCTGGGATTAGCTTGCCTTGACCTGTTTAGGACACAAAATCCTATCATCCAAAAACTACCACGGTTGATATGTGAACAATGGATCGAGTGCTTTCTTTGGAAATGCGAGACTAACAATGCAAGAAGGCCACACTGTACCGAGGTTACAACTACTTGGTACCATTTTGGCTGTAAAACTCACCAACTTGACAGCGAAGACGTTGTGCCTTGAACTACAGTCTACCACCTTCTACGCAGACAGCAAGGTGATGTCAAGCTACATCTGCAAACAAAGCAGACATTTCCATGTCTTAGGCAACAGAGTGAAAAGGATTGAAACATCTTTACTGTAAGTCCTGAACAATGGCAACATGTGCCAACAAATAAGAACTTTGTTAACCAAGTGAAGTGGCCCAACCGTGCCATACAGTTAACAGAATTGATCTGGCTAGAAAGTCTTCAGTTCTTGGCCTGTCCAAACAGACAGATGCCACAGAGACCAAAACGTTATGCACTTCCAGCTTCAGATCAACATGCCAACCTTCAACCTCAGACACCCAGTAAACATCAACCAATCCGCTTTAAACCCCTATCTAAGCAGAGACACCTGAAATTAGGCATAGTTTTGATCGTCTTGATCACTTGTCTTAGCATCCCAAGAATTAGCCTTGTAGGAACCTGCAAGGACTTACTGACTATTGAAGATATTTGTCATAATCCGATGATTGACAAATCTGAAGGCCAAAAATTGCCTTCCCCATGCATCTTACATGGGTGAAGTGTGCATAGGCGAAGCGTGGGAGCACATGATTGGTGCACCCCACGAAATCATGGACTCTATGTCATTAAAGACACCCACACCCACACATGAAGTCCTCATTACCCTGATGACAACAGTAGCAGCCGTCTTCAATACTCTGTCGGAGGTGCCAGACCCTTCAATTCTTGAGTATCCTGAGTCTATTGCAACTGCTGTTGTTCCTGATTCTTCAGTTCCTGATTCTTCAGTTCCAGCTGTTGTTCCTGTTTCTTCAGTTTCAGCTGATGTTCCTGATCCTGATTCTTCAACCCCAGCTGTTCCTGTGTTTTCAGATCCAGCTGTTCATGTTCTTCCAGGTTCTTCGGTTCCTGAGTATCCTGTGAATCCAGTTCCCCTTGTTCCTGAAAAACTTTGGGTTCCAGTTTTTCTGTTCCAGATTTGGTTCCAGTTTCTTTTACAGGAAGAAGACATTTTCTCGCTGAGAGACAAGTATGCATACCAGAACTATTGGCCCATAGGACTTACGTACCGGGCCCACTCACTTGATGAACTAGTTTGCCCAGCTGAGATCCAGATCGTGAAGCCACGTGAGTCAGGTCGTGACTCAAAGACACTTGTACCAGGCGGATCACCGATTTGGTCCCGAGTTGTCTATCTGACTTGATTTAAAAGAAGGCGTTTTTAACTCAGAGTCAGAATAGAGCAAGTCATCTAACTTTCGAATATCCTAGAAGATTTTTGTATTGAACATTTGCTTCTTCACAAAACTGCTTTAAAGTAGCCACACGAACAGTAAAACGACTAAAATACAAATAAATTATAGTTATTACTTCTACATCAATTGGCATGGCACATGATGCTGTGTTGATTGCACTTGACAAAATTTGTGCATTACGACCTATTCCTAGTATTTTCTTTTGGAGTAAATCTTGTAATTTTACATACACATTATTCACCTCTTTGCGTCTTCGCCCACCAAAATTTGTGCTTGTATTATCAGCTGTTAGTGCAACAACTTTGGATTTCAAATTGTTTTCATTTATTACTCTGTATAGATGGTTTGACAAAATTTCAGCAGTTTCGCCCTCAATGGATTCTAAATTTAAAATTTTTATTTGAATGCCCTTGGTAACATTAAAATATCTTACTAGTATTGGATGCAATTTAGTTTCATTATGATTGGATGCATCAGATAAAACCGTTACAAATGTGCAGTTTCCAAGTCTTTTGTAAATATTTTGTCACAGTAATTTTTAAATACTGATTTAATAACAGCCTCACATTTTGTCCTAGCACATGAAAATTTAGCATCGTGAAACTTTTTCATTAATTTAGTTGTACAATCCATACTACGAAAACTTTGATTGTGAATTATGGTATGGTATGGAATGCAAATGTTCCCTCCATTGCAGCTAACTGTTTTTCATCTTGAGAATACTTTGAAGTTTTTAAAAAAAACTTGTTACAACTGAAAGCAGATGCATTTGATGATTGCTTATGTTTCTTGGTGGTCAAGTGTTTCATAATAGCTGCTCTGCCCCCAACTGCAATACAAAATTCTCCGCTGCAAATATTGCAGAAAACATTGTTATCCTTCTTTGATTTGATGAATGGAAATTCCTTATTCAATTTACCGTTGAAATGGCATTTCTTCTTTTTTTATTTTTCCATCCCTAAATGGAAGTTAGTTTCCTCCAGGTATCTTCGGGACTAACTAGGACAATGTTTCTCAACCTTGACAATTTTAAGGCATGTGGACTTCAACTCCCAGAATTTATTACTCTGTAATAAATGAAGTCCACATGCCTTAAAATTGTCAAGGCTGAGAAACATTGAACTAGGAGATGGTGTAGCTGGGTAGCAGGGAGGGATGCAAAGTTCCTGCCAATTTGCCTTGGCTGCAGACAACTTGCATGTGCAAAGTTTTCTGGCCGGTTGTTTTGGAACCAATCAGCAGCAATTCCTATTGGCTTTCGAAAGCCAATAGGGGGAATAGCACAGCTCATGCAAAAGTTGGGAAAAAAACCATCAAAAAAAGGTGCCGGAACGCCATTCTGAGCGTTCTATGAGATTAGTCTGCAGATTAATCTTCAAATATAGAAAAGGAGGACATGTAGGAGGACACTTTTCGAGAGAGGGCAGAACTTACAAAAGGAGGACTGTCCTCCCTAAAGGAGGACGGTTGGTCGACTTACAGAAAATCCCTATTTAGACAGACATAGCCTATACAAACAAGCACGTTGGCACAAATTAACAAACACATTTTAAAACTAAACATGCTTTGGGGGTCAGATTAATTAAAAAGTAGAAGCTGCTCCCCCCCCCCAAAGAATCAGAAAGCACAGGCATCAGATTCTGCCCACTACTGTAGCAAGTCAGTAATTATTTCTTATTTATGGGATTATCTGGTTTATGGACCAAACTACTACATTGCCCAGAATCCTATTGGCGACGTAAAAAAAAAAACTTCCGCCGATACGGTGGCCTTCGACGGAGAGCTTATTACGCGCTGTCTCGCTTCGTCGGGCTTGGCTCGGGAGTTAACTAGTGCAGAAGAGACGTAACACCGGGATAATTACTAAAAGTTGCAGACGTTAATATTACAGCAGCAGCCTCCAAAGATGATAAAAGTATTTTGTGCTTTTAAGATTTTTTTTTTAAAAGACATTCAACAACGGCCTTCCTGAGGACACTTACACAGTCTCTGTTTTTATACGTGCTGACACGTGTCTCTAAGCTTGCGAGAAAGAGAGATGACATCTAGCCTGCTCTCATTGTTAGCTTTTCCGGACTGAGTTCAGAGAAGTTGGATGACACGCCCCGTAGCTGCAGTCCCTCCCTTTTCTCCCCTCCCCACCCGTGCTAAATAAAAGTCGCCTTCTGGGCAAAGTTTGGTAGGGGGTGGCTGTGTTCACGTTCGCGAGCCGCTCGTCCATTCATAACCCACAGTGCAAAAATGGGCATCGCCTGGTCAAACTTGTGGCGCCATTTGACGGAAGGTGAGCAAGATGAGGGTGTTAAAACCGAGATGCTGGGCTTTGCTGGCTTTTTGGGGTGACCCTGATTGCTACTCATTCCAGCGGATTGCCATGGAGGAAGAAGATGTTACAGTATTTGTAGCGGCTGTAACCTTACTGTCACAATGGGGCAAGATCAGGAAGCAACAATTGAAGTAATTTAGATTATGAATGTTGAGTCTAATGCTACTTTGAGGCTAAATCTTAGAAAGCAGAGCTTGGCGCTTCCCAATCTCCTTTATTACTGAGTTTATTAAGGCAGAATCTTTTGGAATATGTTATATTGAATTATTTCTTCTTGAGCTTTTAGCTACTTGAATTTAGTTCCCGTCTGTGATAAACTGCTAACGCATTTTCCTTCTATTTGGGTGTTTATATCTAACATTCCTTCTGTTACCCTCCCTATCTCTCACAAAATGCTAACAAGGCAGCAAAGGCTTAAGAGCGGGAATAAACATTTAGGGCTTCTACCCTTACTGCCTTTAACTGGGCTTTGCATGGGGGGGGGGCTGAGGCTGAAAGGGGTGCTGGGTGAAAGAAGATGTCTCCTGCCAAAGTTTGCATGAAGACTATGCAACCTCAAGAAAATGAGTAGATTAATCTGCACTTTGTTTTGTTGCCATCATCTCCATCGAATAACATTAATTATTTTCATTTTCATATTATTTTATTAGTACTTACATTCTTGTTTGTGTGCCTTTCCACTGGGCATTGAAACTATTATCAGTTTCACTTTTGCCCATGCTTCCTGATCCATTCCTACTTTCTATTGTGGTGTTTGAGTTATTTGAGGCCTTACAGGGCTGGGCCAAATATCCAGAACTGGCTTCAGCTGAAGTTGGCAATCCTAGTTGCTTAACAAGGTATGAAAGGTGGACAGTCCTCAGCTTACAACTACAATTGAGCCCAACATTTATGTTGTTAAGTGAGACATTGGTTAAATGAGTTTTGCCCCATTTTGCCACATTTCTTGCCCAGTTGTTAAATGAATCATTGCAGTTGTTAAGTTAGTAACACAGTTATTAAATGAATCTGGCTTCCCCATTGACTTTGCTTGTCAGAAGTTTGCAAAAGGGAATCACATGATCCCCGGGACACTGCAATTGCCATAAATGTGAACCAGTTGCCAAGTGTCTGAATTTTGATCACGTGACCCTGGGGATGCTGCAGTGGTCATAAGTGTGAAAAATGGTAAGTCACTTTTTCCATGCTGTTGTAACTTTGAACGGTCACTGAATGAATTGTTGTAATTTGAGGACTATCTGTATTGCTTTAGTTTTCTTCATGGGGGTAATGAGGTTTGTAATGCAACTTAACACCTGCGTTGCAGAAATTCTGATCTCTATTGTGGTTGTAAGTTGAGAATTACCTGTATTATTCTAAGGCAGGGGTGTCAAACTCGCCACATTGTGTGATGAGTTTTGCATTGCCGGCAATGGGGCAGGTACAGCTGGGCAGTTTGACACCCCTGTTCTAAGGGATCAGAGCTCACAAAATTTGAGAAGCCCTAACTACACTGTTTTTATAGTAATGTTACCGAAGATTATAATTACAACAGTAAAAACTAATGAAAACTAAAAGAAGAATAAAAAGCAAGAGTAGAAGGTACAGAAAACAGAGGAATTGAAAAGGAAGACTATAGTAAAGAAAATGAAAGAAATAAAGATGTAACTGTCTTCTCATCTTCATTCCAAAAAATGTAAACAATTTTAGTAATTTATCGCCTCTTAAAATACCACAAAGTGTCTCTCTCTATATATGGGCTCATTGTTTTATTGCTGAAATTTGTGATTAAAGTGGGTTATATGCTGATTTTGGGCTTCAGGTTGTTGAGCCTGGCTTACAGAAATTAGAAAGTGAAAGTGACTCTGCAGGAACATTTGGAAATAAAAATAGCCATGGTGATACAGTACAAGCATTTAGATGCCAGGTGTTTATGAAAGTATGTGAAATATTTGTTTTCTTCCAGATCAGATACTGTGTCTGTTCAATCTAGGTTAGTTTGAGATTATTTCTTTTGGTCAGATCCCTCTGTACAGGTAGTCCTCAACTTACAACAGTTCATTTAATGACTCTTCGAAGTTACAACAGTAGTGAAAAAAGTGACTTATGACTATTTTTCACAGCCATTTCAGCATCCCCATGGTCATGTGATCAAAATTCAGACGCTGGGAACAACTGATTCATGTTTAAGACAGTTATAGCGTCCTGGGGTCATATAATCTCCTTTTGCACCCTTCTGAAAAGCAAAGTCAGTGGGAAAGCCAGATTTACTTAACAATTGTGTTATTAACTTAATAACTGCAGTGATTCACTTAACAACAATGGCAAGAAAAGTTGTTAAGTGCAGCAAAGCTGACTTGAGAACTGTCTTGCTTAGCAACACAAATTTTGAGCTCAGTTGTAGTCATAAATTGAGGGTTACCTGTAATTCTCCAGCTGTTCATGAAAAAAATCACTTAGGATAGTTTGAGTATTGCTTGAGAGTCTTTCTAATCTACATAAATTGGTCTGTGAAGTGGGAGGCATTTTAAAATGGGTTCCTTTTCCCTGGCTGTGCATTACCTCCTTTTTGGATAGGCCAGGGGTAAGCAACCTTGGCTCTTTTATGATTCATGGTTTTCAATTCCCAGAATTCCTGAGCCAGCCATGCTGACTCAGGAATTCTGGGAGTTGAAGTTCATGAGTCATAAAAGAGCCAAGGTTGCTGACCCCTGGTATAGGCAAACAATCTGGTCAGTGCAATGTTTCTCAACCTTAGCAATGTATGGACTTTAAGGTGAATTCCTGAGCCGGCATTGTAGGAGTTCACATCCACACATTTTAAAGTTGCTGAGGTTGAAAATATAGTGTTTATTGTCATTTTTTTTACTATAAGCACATCGGCCCACATTAAAAATGAAATTCGGTTGTCTGCTCTCAAAAGAAAATATATATCTACCCATACACAACACACTTATACACATGCTGTACACACATATCCATACACATACCCCATACATTTATATACATATAAATATAAATTACTTTCTATTTTGAATACATAGCAGAAAGAGAAAAGTTGAGAGTTCACAAGATTGATGCTACATGGAACAAAATTGTGACTGAATCCACAAAGTCTCCTTCCAGAAGATAACAAGGAAAAAAGGTTGTGAAGAGGATGTGTAGTGTCCCAGACAATCCTGTGGACCTTGCTCAAGCAACACCTATATAGCATATTCTGGATAGAAGGGAGTGAACTACCAATAATCTTTTCTGCTGTCCTCACCACTCTCTGCATCATGTTCCTGTTTGAAGCAGTGATGCTTCCAAACTAGACAGTAATGCAATATGACCGAATGCTCTCAATCGTCCCTCTGTAGACAGTGGTAAGGACAGGGGAAGGAAGATGGGCTTTTCTTATGCGACGCAAAAAATCCAGGCGCTGCTGTGCCCGCTTCAACAGTGTCTCGCTGTTGAGCAACCAAGCCAGCCTACTCATTAGCTGCACACCCACAAACACTAGACAAGTAAATAAATCAGTACAGTAATTATAGGGAATCCTCGACTTATGATCAGTCACTTAGCAACCATTCAAAGTTACCATGGACCCCCCAAAAGGTACTTATGATCCAGTTCTGAAGTTCAGATGGCCAGGATGTCTCCCTTGGTCACATGATCACATTTTGGGAACCAGCCCACATTTACAGCCATTTGCAACACCCTGCAATCATTTCCCAAAAGAAAAATGATGATATTTCTTGGCAATGCAACCCACCCCTTCAAAATATTCTCTCTCCTCAATCTTGTCCGCTCTCTTGAAATCTGTTTAATTTGTAAGCCTGGTAACATCCACAAACACAGCCTTTGGCAGTTAGCCTTGAATTAGCTGCTTCCTTTCCTTTTTAGCTGTTCCCTTCTCATCCTGACCTCTACTCCTTATAACATTTTTAAAAGAATAATTCTGGGAATTGAGGTCCAGTATCTTAAAGTTGCCAAGGTTGGAACACATTGCTCTGTAATGTTATCTCTGCTAGATTGGGAAATTGAAGATCATCTCAGAACTCCTTTCTTAGAAATGTCAAGAAAAACATATGGATGGAAGAATGTAACCCACTTGGAACCAAATTCAGGGTGACGGAGACTTAATTAACTTTCCTCAACTTGTTAACTTGTTTTAAAAACTATCAAAGTCTGTAGCTCATCATTATATCTTGTGGCCGCAACACTGTGTTTCAAATTGGGGGGGGGGGCAGCATGATTGTTTGATTCTATTGTGCATAATTGCATTAAAATAATAGTCCCTTATCCTTGCCATCAGGTTCTGAATTGTTGCATTCAAAATTAGTCCTGACCTTTCTGTTTTACGCATCTGTATCATGCTTGTCTGTGGTCCAAAACTGCTGGATCATTTCCCAAAATCATCTGTAAGGCAATTCTGTGACTTATGGTCCTCTGCTTAGGGTAGCACTTTCAGCATTTGTAACTGTAACTAGCTTCACTCTGAATCTTTTGGCAGATACAATTTCATCTGTTGGGATTACTTACACAGCATTCCTGTTTGTCCCAATTCCCATTGGCTTCTTCTTCAAGAAAAGGGGTAAGTGCTCTTCACTGGAAACTCTCCTGGGTTTTAGGCCAGCAGGACTTTCCAGTAGCTTGCTGACTTTCAAGGGCTGATTGAAAGAGCATTGAAAGAGCAGTTCTCCCAAGATATAGGAGCTTGGACGATGGGGATACGATATGCATCTGGTTTGGTGATTAAAAAAATAAAAATTCCAGATAAAGACTGAAATAAGTCAGAGAAATAAAAAGAATTCAAGATAAAAACTGCAGTGTGGCCAGATTTATTCATGCTCAGCAAACACTTGTTTTAATCATGGCTTGCTGATTAAGCCACAGTGGGGATGTTCACACATTATGCAAAGCTTTTTTATGTCAGAGCTTTTGAATAAGCAACATACAGCTAAATCGTAAAGTGTGATTCACAGGCCATAATGTCTGCATTTCATATCACACAGAGCACATTCTAGCCAAAATCATATCATTGGTATCAAATGCAAGACCACCCTCTGGGCCTTAATCTTAAGCTTAGTGGTAGATAGTCAGAACTTAATGATATTTTTTTTTCCATCCCAGATAACTGGTTTGTTTTAAAAGGAAATTCTGAAGAGTGAGGATGGCCACAATCTCCATGAATTTCTGCTGTTCCTAGATTTTAAAGATTATGACTTCAATCTGGCTAGTGTGGAGTCCTTGGTGCTCTTTGAGCTTGGTGGCTCTCTTGCAGACATTTCATTGCAAGCGCTGATGATGTTACCTAATTTGGTAATGAAAGAGTTGCAAGAAAACCACCAATCTCAGAGAATACCAAGGATTCCACAGTTCAATCCTCAGCTATAAATCTTCTATCGATACTATCGATTTGACACATTTTCTCTGAAAATGAATTACTGAACCATAAAGCAATATCAAACTCTCTGAGTTTCCCAGCAAACGAAGCCTCTCACAGAAATCAAAAGTCGTTAAAATAAACTTGTTGCACAAATCTGGCTGTTACCTACTTTCTAATTTTCACACCCAGGGTCTTAAATTCTCAGACTGGTGTCTGAATATTTGGTGATGGACATTTCTTTCCCTTTCTTTTTCTGTAGGATTGACATTCAAGAAATATGGGGCAGCTGCCGTGGGTCTTGGACTTACACTGGCTGCTTGTGGCATCTACACCATTCACTCCTTTGTCACCATCATGGGGACATGGATTATCATCAAAATCTCACCAAAGTGAATGGACCAAAAAACACCATCTGATTAAGCAGAATATTACAGGGAGCTGTTTGTTTTTGGTGTTTGTGTCTGAAAGGCTGGGAAGTTTTGAAGGTTTGGGAGGTTTGTGCAGGGCAGCTGTAGGAAAATGAACTGAAAATTGAAAGCAAAATGAGATTTGGCTTCCCAATGTTCCTAGTTCTAAATCCTAAATTAAATTAGCAGAGAGCCTGGGAACGTATGGGCAGGGATTTTGGAGAAGGAAACTTTAGCTCTTTAGGTGTGGGCCTGTGTGGCAGGATGTGTTGATGTGATGGAATGTGTGGATGACCTTGGGGATGAAGAGAAGAAATGGTGCCTAGGAAACAATCAGAGAAGAGAGGCATGAGGCTCCAGTGGCTTAGTGGTCAGAGGAAAAAAAACTTAGGACAATCTCTTCTTAATGGATCAAGCAGTTAAAAGTGGTGGTGAGAAGTTATACTTTCACACTTGCAAGATTCTGTTAATGTAACCTTGCAATAAAGTAGAATTAGTTTATCTAGTTGTGTTTCCTGTCTGGTGTACCTGGGAAGGCTGACAGTTGTTGTGATGAATTTGGGATGATGCAGTGAGTTCAATGTTAAAGGGTCTTGGCTGGAGGAGAGGGGCAAAATCAGGCTCAGTATTACATGGACAGTAACAAGCTTACTGTCTAATAAACATCTTGCTCACATCTATAAATCTATAAGTAGTGGAGGAGGACGTGATGTTGGGTATTCCTAAAGTTGTTTTTGTATGGTGTGGACTGGTGTAATGTATGTATCAAGAAGGAGGGAGGAAAGTTGGAAATCCAGCAGGACCATGCATACCCCAAAATAGAGATCTGCTGAGCAAAGGGATTGGTGGCAGTTTTTGGAGAAGGGACCCAGATGTCAGCAAGGGTAGTTTAACAAAGGGACTGGCATGCCAGAAGCTCAGAAAAGGGTAACTTTTCCCTCTTCTTGTTCTCTCTGGATACCTGGTTCATAAGTGGCATTAATCAATGGTTTGAGACTTATTGAATAAGCCATTGTTTCTTGGGTTTACTTAATCCACCAAGCTGTTTTCACAAACCATGCTAAGTCAAAACCAAACAATGCACATTATGGCATAGTCCAGTTGTGGAAAGAAAAGTCTTCATCCTGGTTCATCCAAGCCAGGGATAAACAACATGGTGACTCCTTTAGAAAGAAAGTTGCAGTTTATTGAAGAGCCAGACCGACAGATGGTTCTGGCAGGAAAGAGGAGAGAAAAGAGGGCCGAGCACATGTGGGGAGTAGGTTTTTATACTCTCTGAAGCCTTTTTTTTTAGTTTTTTAGAAACAGTAGTTTCCTGTTCCTGTTTCAGGCTTTGTATTTCCTGTGTCACGTATTCTGACCTGAGTCTGGGTGTGTCTTTCTGGTATTCTTGATAGTGGTGGGTTAATCCTATTATGTCCCAAAGATTATATCCTGCTTCCCTGGTGCTGTGGCTAATGATTCCTAGAGTTTGGGTGGGGTATGCAGATTTTAGGTGTCTTTGACTTCTAGCTCCAACTTTCCTGATGGTTTACATCTGCATTTGTACAGAGCTGGCTTCTGCTTTGGGGAGGGAGACCTGGGGCTATCAAGGAAAACTGGGCATGCTTTTCTGTCTCTTTAAGATCCTTGGAGGAAATATATTTTTCTGCCCTTCTCTGGGGGGGTGACTTCCCACACCTCAACAATATGAAATGCATATTTGGTTAGAATATAGGTGAATATAAGAACAGAGGTATATATATATATATATATATATATATATATATATATATATATATATATATATATATATATATATATATATGTAGGTCTTTGGTTGTTCGGGTTTTCTCCCACGTAAAATTGGAAGTGTCTTGGCCACGTTTCGACGAAGTCCCATTCGTCATCTTCAGGCTGGTGCTTTCAGCTTCGTGCCTCGAGCAGCAATGTGTGGTCTTAGCTGTTTCTTCCTTTTAACTGCCAGTGGGGGTATGAACTGATTGGGTGGGAGCTTGGCTGTGTTCTGATTGGGTGGAGGTGTGTTCTGATTGGTTAGGGGCGTGGCTGTGCTCTGATTGGCTGGGGGGTTGGCTGTGCTCTGATTGGCTGGGGGGTTGGCTGTGCTCTGATTGGCTGGGGGAGTGTTCTGTTTGGTTGTGCTCAGGTTAGTCTGAGTTGCAGAGGGATTCAAGATTTTGGGCTGCCCTGCCATTCCTTGGCTTCGCGTTCGTGGTCGTGCTTCCTCTTCATGGAGGGTGTCAGTTTGCTTCATGTATGGATTGGGGGGGTTTAAAGTGGCTAATGATGCAGCTGTGGTCTGGCTTCTGGTTTGTGGTCGTGCCTCATAGTCAGTGTGGCTTTGGGTTTGTTTTTTGCGTGGATGTTTGGTGGTGACATCCTGTGTGGTTTTTGTGAGTGTGGGTCTGGTATCATTTTTTGTGTTAGGGAGTCGTTTGTCAATGAGGGCGGGTTTCCAAATGGCTGGTAGGCGGGAGGTATCATCTCGCTTGTTCATGCTGTGTGGGCGTTTTTCTATCTCGATGGCTTCTCTGATTATTCTGTTATTAAAATGTTCACTTTTGGCAATGGTTCTGGTATTTTTAAAGTCAATTTCATGTCCTGTGGCTTTAAGGTGTTGGACCAGGGAAGATGTTGGTTCCTCTTTTTTGACTGAGTTCTTATGTTCTTCAATGCGTGCACTTATTCTTCTGTTGGTTTGTCCGATGTATGTGGTGGGACAAGTGGTGCATGGGATTTCGTATACTCCTTGATTTTCTAATTCAATTTTATCTTTGGGGTTTCTAAGGATGGTGGATATTTTTCTGTTTGTGCAGAATGCTGTTTTGATGTTGTGTTTATGGAGGATCTTACTGATTCTGTCTGTGGTGCCTTTTATGTATGGGAGGAGGGCTTTGCCGTTTTCTTGTTCTTTGTCTTGGATTTTAGTGGGGGTTTCTTTTTGGATTAGGTTTGTAATTCTTATTTCTATGGATAGTAATTTCTATGGATAGTTTCTATGCATAATAATCCTACCAGCAGACAAGGGCAACGCCACGGTGGTTATGAACACATCTGACTACCAACCAAATTAACCAACCTACTCCAAGACTCCACATACAAACCCCTAAATACAGATCCCACCACCTACCTGGAAAAAACCACCAGATCCAAAATAAAAGCCTCCCCCATTAGCGAAGAGATCCAGCAAAGAATCATTCCCAGAGAGAAATCATCCAGATGCCCCAAACTCTATGGTCTCCCCAAGATACACAAAGAAGGAACCCCACTCAGACCTATAGTCAGCTCCATAGGCTCACCTCTACAAAACCTAGCCAAATTTCTCGCCAAACAACTACAGCCCTATGCAGAATCCATCACCTCACACGTAAAAAACTCATTCCAGTTTATAGAGATCATAAAGAAACAAAACTTACAGCCCAGCGACCTACTAGTGAGCTTCGATGTCATATCCCTCTTCACCAAGTGCCTATCAAAGAAGCCTTGACAGCTATTCAAAACAAATATAACCCCCCCAAACACATCTTAGATCTGACCAACCACTGCCTATCCAACACATACTTCATCTATAATGGACAAAAATACAAACAAACAGAAGGAGCACCCATGGGATCACCCCTCTCACCTGTCATTGCCAACCTCTACATGGAACACTTTGAAACCCAAGCTCTAGAAAAATCGGATCACAAACCCAAACTCTGGCTCAGATACGTAGACGACACCTTCATAATCTGGCCACATGGGAAAGAAAAACTGGACAACTTCCTCACACACCTCAACAGCCTACACCCCAAAATACAGTTCACCATGGAAACAGAAGCTAACAACCAACTTCCCTTCCTGGATGTCTTAGTCTACAAGAAATCCAATGGCTCCCTAGGACACACCATCTACCAGAAGAAAACACACACAAACCGCTATCTGCACGCTCTCTCACACCACCACCCAGCACAGATCAACTCTGTAGCCAAGACACTCATCTCCAGAACAAAACGCTTAGCTGACGAACAACACCTAAAACCCGAACTACACACTCTCACCAATGTACTAACATCCAATGGATTCCATAGAAATAAGATTACAAACCTAATCCAAAAAGAAACCCCCACTAAAATCCAAGACAAAGAACAAGAAAACGGCAAAGCCATCCTCCCATACATAAAAGGCATCACAGACAGAATCAGTAAGATCCTCCATAAACACAACATCAAAACAGCATTCTGCACAAACAGAAAAATATCCACCATCCTTAGAAACCCCAAAGATAAAATTGAATTAGAAAATCAAGGAGTATACGAAATCCCATGCACCACTTGTCCCACCACATACATCGGACAAACCAACAGAAGAATAAGTGCACGCATTGAAGAACATAAGAACTCAGTCAAAAAAGAGGAACCAACATCTTCCCTGGTCCAACACCTTAAAGCCACAGGACATGAAATTGACTTTAAAAATACCAGAACCATTGCCAAAAGTGAACATTTTAATAACAGAATAATCAGAGAAGCCATCGAGATAGAAAAACGCCCACACAGCATGAACAAGCGAGATGATACCTCCCGCCTACCAGCCATTTGGAAACCCGCCCTTATTGACAAACGACTCCCTAACACAAAAAATGATACCAGACCCACACTCACAAAAACCACACAGGATGTCACCACCAAACATCCACGCAAAAAACAAACCCAAAGCCACACTGACTATGAGGCACGACCACAAACCAGAAGCCAGACCACAGCTGCATCATTAGCCACTTTAAACCCCCCCAATCCATACATGAAGCAAACTGACACCCTCCATGAAGAGGAAGCACGACCACGAACGCGAAGCCAAGGAATGGCAGGCAGCCCAAAATCTTGAATCCCTCTGCAACTCAGACTAACCTGAGCACAACCAAACAGAACACTCCCCCAGCCAATCAGAGCACAGCCAACCCCCCAGCCAATCAGAGCACAGCCAACCCCCCAGCCAATCAGAGCACAGCCACGCCCCTAACCAATCAGAACACACCTCCACCCAATCAGAACACAGCCAAGCTCCCACCCAATCAGTTCATACCCCCACTGGCAGTTAAAAGGAAGAAACAGCTAAGACCACACATTGCTGCTCGAGGCACGAAGCTGAAAGCACCAGCCTGAAGATGACGAATGGGACTTCGTCGAAACGTCGCCAAGACACTTCCAATTTTACGTGGGAGAAAACCCGAACAACCAAAGACCTATATACAAATACCCGCGAAAACCTCAGAAAACACATATATATATATATATATATATATATATATATATATATATATATATATATATATATATATATATATATATATATATATATATATATATATGCTTAACATTATGATGTAGATAATTTCTTAATCGTTACATGTTCTCTTTTTTTAAAATAGGCATTCCCATTCTCTGACATTAGGATGGACATTTTTGTACCTGCTCTATTTCCACAAATTTACCTCCTTCAAGTTTCCCCAGACAACACATCTGACCAAGTCTGTGCAACTTTTGCTCACCCTCAAGGTAGCTGGTGCTAAATTGTGGCTGGTTAAGGGTAGGGAGAGTTCTTGGGTTAAGGGGAAGTAAGTCCTTCCTCCCATACTTTAATTGATGTCTCTAGATGGTGAGCGTAGCCAGTGAGGTGCAAGAATTCATTCAGGTGAAGGAACAGGAAGTGACATCAGGTACCAAGTCCCCAGCAGTTGGTGTGATTCCTGAAATACCTGGATTGGCAGAGATACTGTGCTACAGTTACTGCTATGTGGGACTTATGACAGGTAGGTGAACTATATAATAGAAAATGAAATATGTCTACAAGTACAAAACCCAGTGGTGCATTTTCCTTTTGACAGAGTGATGGGCAATGGTGGGATTCAAATATGTGAACAACCAGTTCTCTGTGTGGATGCCACTTCTGGAAGTCGATTCTGGGCCTGGGCAACAAAAAATTAGCTACTGGTTCTGCCGAAGCAGTGCGAACCAGCTGAATCCCACCACTGGTGGTGGGCTTATGGATACTTTAAAATGTTAGCACTTTTTCACTACATATATAAGCATGAGGGGCTATCAAAAAGAAGAGAGGGACAGCCTATTCTCAAAAGCATCTGAGGGCAAGATAAGAAGTAAAGGATGGAAATTTATCAAAGAGAGATTCAACCTAGGATGAAGAAGAACTTTCCTGACAGTTGGAACAATTATTCAGTGGAACGACTTGCCTTCAGAAGTTGTGGGTGTGCCATCACTGGAAGTTATTAGGAAGAGATTGGACAGGCATTTGTCTGGAATGATATAAGGTCTCCTGCTTGAGCAGGGGATTGGACTAGAGGATTTCCAAGGTCCCTTCCAACTCTATTATTCTATTATTCTGTAATCAATAAGAGAAGATCCTAAGCTGACACCATAACAAGACTTCTCTTTAAAGGAAACGGTAGCGATCAGAGCAAGGTAAAAAAGAATAATGCCCACTCCAGCTTTGCCCTCTGGTCTGCTTTTAATGTCGCCCGTCTGTTGATTTTGGTGTGATGCCTAGTTGTTTTGTGTAAGCGTGGGCTCTCTTACAGATCCTCCTCAACTTATGACTATAATTTAAGCCATTGTGGTCATCACTGCGGCCGTAAGTTGAGACATCACATGACCAGATCCAAATTTTTGACATTTTTTTTGTCGCAGCTGTTATGTGAATGCCACATCATTAAGCAATGGCTGCACAAACCCAGTTACATGATTCAATTGGCAACTAGCTTACCTCTTCAGCTGGACATTGCAAACAGCAGAAAAAAATCAGCTAGTTGCCCAGTGCCCAAATAAAGTCATGTGACTGGGTGTGCACATGTGGTCATCATAACTTTGAAAATGAGTTATAAGTAGCTTTGGGGAGGTCTGTTGTAACTTCAAATGGTAATTAAGCAACAGGTCGTAAATCAAGGACTACCTGTATTTTGACAGAAGTGTGTTTGACACTACCTTGCTTATCAGGAAAAAAAATGACTATACTTTCTACTAATCTGTATATGTTTCATCAATTTTCCATTTTTGTAGCTTCTTTTTCGCTTTGTGAGAATTGCATAGAAAAAAGATAAGATAGCAGAGATTACCGTATTTTCCAGCGTATAAGACGACTTTCTAAAGCATGGAAATTGGCGGCGAAGTTGGGGGTAGTCTATACGCCAAGTCGTCTTATATGCCGGAAATTACGGTAGTTTTCAGCCTATAAGACGACTTTCTAGGCATGCAAATCATCACCGAAGTCAGGGGTCGTCTTAGACGCCAAATCGTCCTAAACGCCAGAAAATACGGTATGTTTCTGTTGCCAAATCCTTGAGAAAAACAGAGTTATGCAGTTAGGAAATCCTGGCATTCTTCCCAAGACTCTGTTAAGGTTGTGTATGACTTGGGAAGAATGCCAGGATTTCCAAAATAGAAGCTCTCCAAATATGTTGGAATGCCAGGATTTCCAAAATAGAAGCTCTCCAAATATGTTGGAATGCCAGGATTTCCAAAATAGAAGCTCTCCAAATATGTTGGATGCTGTTTCCCATAACATCCAACCAAGATACTGGTTCTGAATTAAGGGAATTGATGTTGTGGAAAGAGCGACAATATTCTGGATTATTAAAATGTGCATCTTATCTTAGACTAGGGGCGAGCAATTATGACAACTTGATGACCTGTGGATTTCAACTCCCAGAATTCCTGAGCTGGCCAATCATTAGTTATTTATTGCCCACCCCTGTCTTAGGCAGATATCTCTCATTGATCTTGGTTTGTTTCATTGCTTTCCTTTCTGTGTTTTTTAAACCCAGGCTTATTTTATCGCTATCGTACATATCATGATTGGTTGAATCAGTCCAATCCTTCTGAAATTCCAACATGGAAGCCACTGCTTTACAGACTGATGATGATGCCTGTCTTTGCGACTTCATTTTTGGGCGTCTCCTACATCTTCCCCCCTGAATATGTCGAAAATGCTGCCTTCTACGAAAAGGGGCTCCGTTTCCGCCTTTTCTACATGATGCCGGTATCCTTTGTCTTCCGCATGCGTAACTATGTGACCTGGTATGGCGCTGAGAGTGCCTGCATCACTGCTGGCCTTGGAGCATATCCATCTTGTGCCAATTCACAGCCAGGCAGAGGACCAACGGTGGAATATGAATCTCTGAGCCAGTGAGTTTAAAAAACATTTTCTCTTCCTTGGCTAAAAAAAAAAAAATCCCTTTCCCGCTACAGGTGGTCCTCCAGTTTCAGCCATTCATTTAGTGACTGTTTGAAGTTACCACAGCAGTGAAAAAAGTGACCGTTGAGCAAATACACCCGGTCACGTGATCAAAATTCAGGCACTTGGCAACTGGCATATATTTATGACTGTTGCGCTATCCCAAAGTCATGTGATCACCATTTCTCACCTTCCCAGCCAGCATCCAACAAGCAAAGTTAATGAGAAAAGCTAGATTCACTTAACAACCACATGTAACAATTGCAGTGATTCGCTTAACAACTGTGGAGACGTGGTAAAATGGGGCAAAACTCACTTAACAACTGCCTTGTTTAGTAATGGAGATTTGGGGCTCAGTTGTGGTCATAAGTTGAGGGCTAACTGTACAGGCACTCCTTGTCTTACAATCATTCATTAGCAATTATTTAGAGTTGCAACAGCACTAAAAACAATGACTTATGCCTGGTCCTTGCATTTAACAATCATTGCAGCAGCCCTACAGTCATGTGATCCAAATTTGGGAGCTTGGCAATCAGCTGATGATTGCAGTGTTTCAGGGTCATGTGATCACCATCTGTGACCTCAGCTGGCTTCTTTTGACAAGCAAAGTCAATGGGGAAAGTTGATTTGTTAACAATGGTGTAATTCACTGCAGTGATCAAAATTCAGTGCAGTGATTCACTGCAGTGATTCGCTTAAAGACTATTGCAAAATCTTGGCTTAGCCACGGAAATTCTGCCAATTGGGAGTTGAATTCCACAAATCTTAAAGTGGCCAAGTTTGAGGACCCCTGGAGTAGACTAAGGATATATTCTGACAGCTGTGGCCCAAAAGAATGAGCATTATTTGCTCTCTCCCATCCGCTGATTTCTCTTCTGCCTGATACTAAAACCAGTGAATGATGGGGCCTTGCTCTATTTTCTTTAAGGAGTCCTGGTAGATTTTTGTGCAGGCAGGAAAAACATCCACCTGTCACTCTTCTTAATTTGGGCTGGGGCTGGATATGACTTTTGACAGATGGTTACATTCCAGGGGTTTCATCGCTAGTCAGAGCTTGATCTGCTTTGGGGCCAAGGTTGAAAGAAGACAGAAGATGCTGCATGAATAAGTGGCTCAGATAAATGCAGCCTGAGCAATGGATTGGGGATTTTATGACCAAGACTGAATCATGAGGATATGTCACTGTGGTTTAAGATGCCTAAGACATTTTCCCAGGGCAGTTGGGGGGGCAATGTGTGAATGAAGCTAAATTTAGAAAAACCTTATTTATATTCGTGGTTAAGGTACCAGGTTACAAGCCAGGAGACTGTGAGTTCTAGTCTGACCTTAGACATGAAAGCTGGCTGGGGGACTTTGGGCCAATCACCAGGAGACTGTGAGTTCTAGTTCCATTTAGGCATGAAAGCCAGTTAGGTGACTTTGGGCCAGTCACTCTCTCTCAGACTAACCCACCTCACAAGATTGCTGTGCAGGGAAAAATAGGAGGAGGAAGGAATATTAGATATCTTTGCCAACTTGAGTTATTTATAAAAATAATAAAGGCAGGTCATAAATGAACAAATTCCTGTTATAAGAATGTTGATCCCTTCTTGGTTCAGATGACTGCAAGCCTGAAGGTATTTATATAGAGGTCTGTACAATTTTTTTTATTTATTTGCTAACTAAACATTTCAGAGAGTCTGATCAGTCCAGTGTGGAATGCATACCACCTCCAGTCAGTTACTGAGGTGAAACATATACAAAGGATTTTCTTTCTCTTTCTTTAGAAGCAGATCAGCTGATGGGAAAGAATCCAGTGTTGCCTATGATTATCAGACAATCAGAAACATTGATCCATATGGTACAGAATTTTGTATCAAGGTGAAGGATGGCATTCGCTGTTGGAACATGACTGTCCAATGGTGGTTATATCAATACACCTACAAAAATACAGCTTCTTTCCCCTATGTCATAAGGTGAGTCCTGTGAAATTGGATTAAAATAAAAGAACACTTAGGGCAAGCAAGATCTGGAAGTGAGGTATGATGTAAACTGGGTGGATGTGAGACTGTTTTATGGAGAAGATGGATCATTCTAGACCAGTTATTTCTCAGATTTGACACCTTTAACACGTGTGGACTTCAACTCCCAGAATTCCCCAGCTAGCAAGTCCCATTGTGAGAGTTGAAGTCCACATATTTTAAAGTTGCCAAGTTTGAGAAACAATGTTCTAGACCAGCGGTTCTCAATCTATGGGTCGCGACCCCATTTGGAGTCGATCAACCATTTCACGGGGGTCGCCAAGCAAGGCTATCTGCCATTTTTTCCCCTTTTTCCGGCGGGTGCCTTACTTCCCTTGGGCTGGGCCAGCTGGTGGCCCAGCCGGTGGTCAGCCTGCTCCATCTCTGCTGCTTGCCAGCTACGCCTCGGCCAGCGCAGGGGGTGGCACCACGCATGCACGGCGCTCCCGGGCAGGGAAAGTCCTTGACTTACGACCGGTTGGGTAGTCTTCGACTTACAACCGGTTTAGTCCTCAACCTACGACCAGTTTAGTCCTCGACTTACAACCGGTTGGGGTCGCAGCATTAAAAAGGTTGAGAACCACTGTTCTAGACAGTAATTGGTTGTTTTCAAGGCAAGCAAGGAAGGCTGTTCAGTGATGCAGATCTGAAAGGGGAATAGGGATGCAGGATTGTGGGACTAATTGGGTCTAATATGAATATGAGAATTGCGGGAAGCAGCAATAAAAATGTAGCACAAAAACATGAAGATTGATTTCAGAGTTGAAACCAGTTATAAATTAAGGGGATGGAAAATGAAATAGTTGACAGAGATGATTATAAAGTAGAGGGCATTGGTTAACATGGAAAATGTGGGTAATTAAATAAATTTGGGATGGGACATAAGCAGCAACCCATAACTGGAAAAAAGAGGAAATCAGAAAACCAAACTGGGCCTAAGAGAACCCAGGAAGCGGTTTGAGCTTGAATGAAAGTTGCATAAATAATCATTTCTCAACCTTGTGTTTTCTAGACAGGTGTCAGACAGGAAAGACAGGGCTACATGTTAAATTTCAGTTAACCTGATTTATTGCTCATGCTAGCACAGCAATCTAATCCACTAACAATTAGCAGTATTTTGATGCTAGATAAAGGTTAACGAGTTCAAGCTGGGTTGGACTTAGTCTGCTTGTGGGAATGTAGAGAGTCTAGGCTAATTCCTCTTTTGACTCCTCCCACAGGCTCTGCCACTCCTTCTCCTGTCTTAGGTTCATTTTCAATACCCATATCTTTAAGTCAATCTGAAGAGTTTTGGAGCGTTGACTGGAGGCTTCTGGTGATGAAGTCCAATAGTTTTGTAAGTTGGGAAAGGCTGAGCTAGATTTAACAACAGCCATGACAGTATTAGAAATGATCGTAGGACATTGGACGGATTCTGAGATAAATTGATGCTTGAATTGGCATGAGAAAAAGATTGTAGGATTGACGAGGCCTTTTTCTTCCTAGGTCTGCCTGGACTATGGCTATCTCGGCCTACTGGCACGGACTCCGCCCTGGCTATCACCTCAGTTTCTATACCATCCCACTGTGCCTAGCAGCTGAGGGGGCCATGGAGGATGGGTTGTTGAGGCATCTCTCTCCCTCTAGCCGTGCTTGTGTTAACTGCACACACTGGTTCCTGAAGATGAGGGCTTATGACTATGTGTGTGTGGGTTTCCTCTTGCGTAGCTTTGAGGGTATTATTCGCTATTGGAACTCAGTGTATTATTGTGTTCATGTGGGGGCTTTGAGTTTCTTTGTGGCTGGGAAAGCAATGGGGGCCCTGAGGAAGGGCAAAGATGACCAGAAGCGGGAATGAGAAGACAGTATTCTTTTGTCTTAAATAATCAGTGGGAAAGCTAATCTGTTGCTTGGATTGGCAATAACTAAGGGGAAGCTTTGTGTATAGGTTCAAAATGGCCTCATTATGAAGGAGGATGGGGTGTTCCAAAATTCCGATTGTATATTAAAGTGGTTCAGCTTAAACTCATGGTGCCTTGAATAATGGAAGGTCAAAATAGATGGTGGGTCAAATTAGAAAATACAATACTAAGATGTAGGTAGTCCTTGACTTACAACCATTTATTTGAGGACTGTTTGAAGCCATGTCAGCACTGAAAAAAGTGATTTATAACCTGTTCTTGCACTTACGCAGCATTTCCCCAGTCAAGTGATCAAATTTTAAGGGAAGCGGGATTCGCCTCATGATTGCATGATTCACTTAACGACCGTGGCAAAAAAGATCGTAAAAACAGGCGTAACTCACCTAATGAGCATCTTGCTTAGCAACTGACATTACAGTCTTAATTGTAAGTCAACGACTGCCTGTAGTGGTAAACCTTTATGTAAAATAGTGTTTTTAGCAAAGGTGCTCCCAACTGGTAATAGATTTTCTATATAGGCTTTCTATATAGGTTTATATAACTTTAATACAGGAAAATTATATATGGTTCTTGGAAGGCTAAATATTCTCCTAGGCTCTTTGCACAATTTGGGGGTCCTACTAAGACTTTCAACTCCTTCTTGAAGAACATGGGCTGGCTCTTTTTTGGAAGATCCTTCATCCTGAGTACCAGTTGCAGTTGTTTTTAGATTAGGGGGTCGGGGTGCTAGTCATAATTACTGACACCTTGGATCAGAGGTCCCCAACCTTTTGGGCACCAGGGACCGGTTCCATGGAGAGAGGTTTTTCTGCGGCCCGGAAGGGACATGGTTTTGTGTGCTGCCTGCATCCCGCGGATGGGGCTTTACTTGTTTGTATGGCCCAGTTGCTGGCATGCCATGGCCCGGTACTGGTCCATAGACCAGGGATTGGGGACCCCTGCCTTGGATAACTCTTGCTTGGATTGTTGCAACATACAGAGAGCTGACCAGAAGCTAAAGCCTTTCCAGAATTTAGTAGTACAAGTAAGTATGAGTATATCCCAAAACAGCCATGCCATCTGTGATTGCATATGCCGCATTGGTTACAAATGGCTTCTTGGTACAATTATGCCATCCTAAAGATCCAGCAAGATTGGCATGCTCTGGGCCCCATAAGTGTCATCTTATGGAAACTAGGAGGTGTACTTTTTCTTCTCTATAAAAACACTTTCTCCCCAAGATCTGGCTGGCCCTGACCCTGCTGGCTTGTAAGAACACTTTGAAAACCTGATTCTTCCTCCAGGCAGTGGAATGGAATGTTACATGAACCGTTTATAACTATGTGAGATCTGTAGTCTTCTTTTCAAACCTTTAATAGCTACCCAAAGTTGCTTGGAAAATGGATAGCCCTATAAAGTGAGTGAGTGAATATAGAAAATAGAGTATTAAAATACAGTTAGTCCTCAACTTACAGTCATTCATTTAATGACCATTTGAAGTTATGTCAGTGAATGAGTGAACAAATACTTGTTCACCCTGCATTTTTTTTTTAATAAATACAAAATGAGACTGTGTTGGCGGGGGAAAAAAAGGACCAGCTGATATAAAAGGTTTTTATGTAAATTCTGTTTCGTTTTATAAAGTTGAAATTGAAGAATAGGAGTCAGAGTTGACTTTCAGTGGTATATTGTGGTGATGATAACAGTGGCAAAATGCAGTTATTCTGTTTTTAGATGCAGCCATCTGGTGGCTCTCTTTAAGGTCCTTTTGGCAGGGCAGATGAGCTATAGGTTCATCTGGAGGCTACCGTGAGGAATATTCTCTGGCAGATAAAACGGCTTGGATTTGCTCAGAATTGGTTTCTGATTGGGCAATCCCATCAGGTGTTTATTAGTTCCATATAGTAAGCTGGATTCCCAGGTGGGAAAGGGAGCATTCCAGAGGAATAAAACATAACTCAGTCCAGATATTTTGCATGAGAGAAAGAGGTGAAAACAGCCCCTTCTTAATAGTTTTCAGAGTATATGCAGAGTAGGTGCAGATGGTGGAGTGCTTCAGTTTGGCAAGATTCTGTCTATAAGTCTGAAACAGTGAAGAACTCAGCTTGAAAGAATCACCACATGTCTTTCTTGGTTTTGGGGCCTGACACCACTCAGCTTTTGGGTGCAATGCTAGATGCCACCAAGCAGGGCCTAGTTATTTGAGGAACCATATCTCTCTGTTGCCTCTTCCCATCCTTAACAGTCAGACAGAATTGGCATGCTCTGCCTCCCTTGGATTGAACAATGTCACCTGAGCAAACCCAGATACTGTACTATCTCTATTATGGCACCTATTTTTTCTAACAACATTCTCATAGAAAGCTGATGGCTTCTAATTTGACTTCATTTAAAAAGCAATTAAAACCATTTGTCTTTTTCTCAGGTCTTGGGTGAGAAGGAATGGCAAGACTCTTACAAGATTATGTAAGACTAGATGTTTTTTCTCTTCCAGATGTGAATAGTTTTTTCTCTTTTGTTATATAGTTTCTGTATAATTTTCATTTCTATAAGCTCCCAGAGTTATCATAGCGTTGGGTGAACTTATAAAGCTTATATTAGGAACTGCATTAAACTGGTTATAATGGATGTAGATTGAGGCTCCCCTGAAAAATTAGGGATTTTAAATTCACTTTAATAGACAATTTAGAGAATTTGAATTCATGTGTAAAAATTAATGGTACAAAAGGATATTCCCCGAAGCAAGAAGATTATACACTTTTATTGCAATCGTTGGAGAGATACTCTTTTTGAAAAACATACGGAAATTAGATTTTTAAAACAGCAATATCTCAAGATAAATGGAATTGTATGTGGGAAAACCCATTCCTTTTCTTTTATAGCTTTGAAGAAAAAAATCCTTGAGATATTTTAGATTGTTACTACCATCTCAGTGTTAAAATTTAATACATAATTAAATGCACAGGGCTGTTTATTTGGGGATATGACGTTTCTAGAGAATGCATTAATTACTAATAAAAATATAGAAAACATCTGAGACTTTTGTCATTATTTTCTGATACGAATACAAATATATAAAAAACAGTATTTTATTAATAGCTATGGGATTTGTAATAAAAAATACTCATGGGTCTAATAGGGAGCAATTAAGAAAAAAAATGGTATACTCTTTCGTCACAACAAAAAATTAGCATATATATTGAAATCAGTAGAAGAAAATAAGATTTTTTTCTGTATGGTATAATTTTATAAAATATTCTAATGATTAAAATCATAATAAACCACCTACCGTGTGCCCTACTATGAGAAACAGCAGAATAAAATAATGTTGTCTATGTTCTTGCTTTGTGTGATATTGATTCACACTTGATCAATGATGAAATAAATGTTCAAAAGCTGTTAGGATCTCAAAAACCTCTAAATCATTTTTGGCCAAAGAGCATTCTGGGAAGGGATAGAAATTGCTACAGCAAAAAGATGATGCCACAAAATTACTTGTTTGCTAATGAGGTGGTAAGATGGAAATACTACATATTTACATATATTCAGATTTATAGCCTGAATACACACATGCATACATTGATTGGAAATTGAGAAAGGTGGGTTTTAATTTTCTAACCCAAAAAAATTATTCAGGTAACATCCTTAATTATAGATGTTATATAGTTGTCCATCTTAGCCTTGTGATTTTTGGTGGCTACAAAAAAACCCATAAAAACACAGACCATTATAAAAATGGCAATACAATGTAGCCAAATCCCCTAAAAGATTATCATTCAATTAAACCCCATATAAGTGGGGTTCTACTAACAACCTGGCCTGAGGGGACAGCCCATCTCCAACTTTTCTTCAACATAGCGATTTTTGATGTTCTTTTTTATAAAAATTATTTTCTGAAGATTTTAGTAAACATAGTAAAAATAATACAAAATAAACTAGTAGGAAAAAGAAAAGAAAAATTCAGAAGATGCAGGGAAAAGAAAAAAGGAGAAAGAAAAGAGAAAGACAATATACATAGTCCTCAACTTATGACTAATCAAATACGGAATTATAGTTGTAAATCATTCAGTTCATTAAGCAGGTTGAGAAGAGCGGTCTCTTGTTCTTCACTACAAGGAGCTGAATTTCAGGTGACTTCTTCCCAAAGAGCTAACCATCATCTGTAACATAAAACAATCTTACACTTACAAACCAATCCTTATTTCCTTCAGCTATCTCAATTCCCTGCTTCATTCAGTAAATCAATGCCAATATTCATTGCATTTTTGGTCTTGCACAGACCAAACCCACCCTGCTCAGATCTTTCATCCTAACTGTTATGTCCTGAGCCTTGCAAGCGGGCTCGGGGCATTGCAGGCGGTCCCGGGCAGGTGCAAGCTGCCCGGGACCAGACAGGCTGTCGCCAGTGCTTGTGCGCATGCGCAAGTGCTGGCGCGCGAAAAGTAACACATTGACCCAGGAAAGTCATATAAAAGGAGGCTGCGAGGTGTGGGCTTTTGCCGCCATGTTCCAATGTAAGCTGAACTGAAGAATAAAGGTTTCCTGAGAACTACAACTGCTTCTCGTGTCTTACCATTTCGCGACGGACTCAACACTGGCGACGAAGGTGGGATTGCCTTACATCGAAAAAGAGAAGGTGTAAGCTTACCCGAGTGAGTCCGGAGTGGCAGGAACGGCGTTGACTCGGCAGCTACCCGCCAATCCAGCGTGCATTCGGGGGTAGGCTGGCTGATAGACCCTTCCTGATACGAAATGGCGAAGATTGAAAGGCTTTCGGAATTCGACGTCTCACATCCAGAGAGGTGGGAGTCCTACGCAGCCAGGGTGGAAAACTACCTCAAAGTGAACCAGGTGAGGGAAGAGAGCTTGAAGGCTGCCACCCTGCTGTGCGTTTGCAATCAAGACGCATTCGAAATCTCTGAGAACCTCGCAGCACCTGTTCCTTTAGAGTCTGTCAGCTACGCAGATCTAAAAAAGTTACTGAAGGAGCACTTCCATCCTAAGATGTCCGTCATCATGTGGCGCCACACCTTCGAGCAGAGGGATCAACGACCCGGAGAATCGGCCAAGGAGTATATCGCCGCACTGAGGAAAGCCGCCAAACATTGCGAGTTCAAGGACCTCGAAGAATGACTGAGGGACCGATTTGTGTGCGGGCTAAGGCATCGAGAGTTGCAACAGAGACTTTTCGCCAAGGAGGACTTGTCCTTCCAAGATGCCTTGAGAGAGGTCACCGCAGAAAAGCAGTGGGCGGTGCCATCAAGAACATGCGGCCGATCAGAAACAGTCCAGATGCTGCATCCGTGCACCAGGAAGAAGTCCAAAGAAACTCCGAGGAGGATCCGGACGAGGAAGTGGACCGTCTACACCCCACAAAGGAAGGAAAACCAAGAGGAAGCTCTTCAGCTCTCCCCAAGTGCATCGGTTGTGGAGGTCGCCACAAGAGAGCCGACTGCAAGTTCCGCTCCGCTATCTGCCGGGCATGCGGAAAACAAGGACACATTGCAGCTGTGTGCCTGGGCCGTCAGAAGGTACAACCTCAGGAAGAATTGCGCCTGAAAGGTACCAGGGTCCCCAGCCAGAATAGGGTGGGGTTTTGTGCTTCGCGAAGAAGCATCTACAGGACAGACACACACAAGCCCATTAAGAAAAAGCTGTCACTTAAGGTGAAGCTACAAGGGGTTCCATTAACTATGGAACTGGACACGGGGTCTGCACTTTCGATCATTTCTATGTACACATTTAGGAAGATTTGTTCTGGCAGCGGAACCCAGGCCAAGTTGAGGCCTTCTGACATTGTGCTAACGAATTTTCAAAACTCCAGAGTGTGTGTTAAGAGGGAGGCCACCCTTAACGTACAGTATAAGGATTTTGAGGGTCCACTAGACCTACTAGTAGTAGAGGGTGAACGAACGAGCCTCATAGGACTTGAGTGGTTTGAGGCCTTGGGGATATACGTCACAGGGCTTAACAGCCTACAAACACTCGACCTACAGGAAGTCTGCAAAGAATTTGCAGACGTTTTCAGCCCCCAGCTGGGCACATACAAAGGACCCACTGTGTCATTAAAGCTAGACCCCACGGTCACTCCCGTTAGAATTAAAGCAAGAAGGGTCCCTTTTGCTTTAAAGAGTAAAATTGACACTGAGTTGGACAAACTGATCCAACAAGGAATTCTAGAACCTGTTGACTCCAGTCCATGGGAGACCCCCATTGTCACGCCTCTTAAGGCAAATGGGGACATTCGCATCTGTGCTGATTACAAATGCACTCTAAATAAGGCATTGCACCAACATGCCTATCCTGTTCCTGTGGTCAGTCATATCCTGGCCTCCCTCAAGGGGGGGCGCGTTTTTGCAAAGCTTGATCTAGCTCAAGCATATCAACAGCTGCCTGTTGATGACGCTGCTATAGCTCAGACTATTGTGACCCACAGAGGGGCTTTCAAGGTAAAGAGACTTCAATTTGGAGTAAATGTCGCTCCTGGGATTTTCCAAAGCGTAATGGAAAACACACTACGGGGTATACCAGGGGTTTGCCCCTATTTTGATGATGTCTTAATTGCAGGAGACTCCACACACATTCTAGCTGAAAGGCTAAGGGCTGTCCTGTTAAGGTTCAGGAAAACGGGACTCAAACTCAAGAAGGACAAATGTAAAATTGGGGTACCTTCTACTGAGTTTCTGGGGTTCAAAATTGATGCTGCTGGGATTCATCCTGCTGAATCCAAACTAAAAGCCATTATGCAAGCCCCTAGGCCAAAGTCTAAGGCCGAACTGCAGGCTTTTCTGGGCCTTCTGAATTTCTACAATTCCTTTCTTCCACATAAGGCTAGTGTAGCTGAGCCTCTTCACAGGCTATTAGATAAACAGGCAGTGTGGCAGTGGTCACAAACACATGAGGCTAGTTTCAATGAGGTCAAGGCCTTACTCACTTCTAACAGTGTACTTGCACACTTCAATGAGTCCCTTCCTGTGTGCATCGCTTGTGATGCTTCCCCTTATGGGGTGGGTGCTGTACTGAGCCACCTCAGGGCTGATGGAACTCAGGTTCCTGTTGCATATTACTCCAGGACATTGTCTGCAGCTGAGCGCAACTATGCTCAAATAGACAGGGAGGCCTTAGCTGTTGTTGCTGGAATTAAAAAATTCCATGATTTTTTATATGGTAGGCAATTCACGGTCTTCACTGACCATAAGCCTTTGCTGGGACTGTTTACCACACGTAAACAAACTCCCCAAATCATCTCTCCCAGGATGCTCAGGTGGTCTATCTTTTTGTCTGCATATGATTTTTCCCTACTTCACAAGCCTGGGAAGGAAATGGGCCATGCTGATGGCCTCAGTAGATTACCCCTGCTGGTAATAGAGGCTGACCCTGCGCCAGCCATCAATATTCTCTCCATTCAAGCTTTGCCCAAGTCCCCCCTGAATGCCAGGGATGTAGCCGCTGAATCAGGCACAGATCACACACTTTCACGTGTCCTTTCTTGGGTTTTGTCTGGATGGCCTGAGCACTGTCCTAGTCCTGAGTTTCAGAGTTTCTGGTCTAAAAGGAACGAGTTGTCCACCTCTCAGGGTTGTCTGCTTTGGGGAAGCAGGGTTGTCATTCCCACCTCAATGAGGACTAGGGTCTTAGATTCCCTCCACGAGGGTCATCCTGGCATTGTTCGTATGAAGGCTCTTGCACGCAGCCACTTGTGGTGGCCAGGGGTAGACAAAGGCATAGAAGCTAAGGTGCATGCATGCCACCTTTGTCAACGTTCACGCCCTGAAATGCCCCAAGCTCCTGTGCATAGATGGGAGGAAACACAGTCTTCATGGTCTAGGGTGCACATTGACTATGCTGGGCCCTTTCAGGGTCAATTCTTCTTGGTCCTCGTTGACAGCCATTCAAAATGGCTTGAGGTTGTACCTGTCTCTTCCACCACCACTGCAAAGACTATTCAGGTACTGAGGGGATTTTTGCTGCACACGGGCTCCCAGACGTCATTGTGTCTGACAACGGCCTTCAATTCACTTCCTCCGAATTC